CGCGCGTCCTTTTCCTTTCACTCAGCCATTTTTCTTCGGAAGACGCACAAACTCCATGACAAACTGAGCATAGGGCCGCATGGGCTATGCGACGTGCATGCGCCCCACATTCAATTTCATTCCTTAGACATGCTCAAATTAATTTCAGATTTTTGTATTCACTCTATAGACCCCACTATAACGTCTTCGCGAAATCACGCCGGCCCCAGGCAGCTAAAATAAAACCAAAACGCGCGCTGTTGTCAGCTACGGCTGTGTCCCCGACGCCTCATTGAAAGTCACTGCACAATAAGAGGGTGAGAGATTTTGGTATAGATGCGACCAAAACAGGGTGAAAATCGGTCGAGGATTCGTCGAGGATTTTCGCCTGTTCAGTCACGCTCTCCCGCGCGGACATTCACTCTCGCCACGCGCGAGCCGTCTGTGCTCTCCGCGCGTACATTCACTCTCGACACTATTTCTCACACAGCACAGAGCCATAGCCGAGGAACTTCCCGACCCTGCTCCAGAAGGCTATACTACGAAGTAATAGGCTTTCCTTCCGAGAGAAATTTAAATAGAAGCAAAACAGAGCTGTTTGATTTCACTTACCGACGAACCACTTTCTCCTTCGCTCCGCGCGCCTTTTGATTGCGTTCTTCCAACTGCTGCGGTGTTTCGGTCTGTTCTACGCGTGCGACCTTGTATCCGCGGGACACCAACTGATCGGCGAATTTACCATAGGCGGCCTCAGGAAAACCTGCATGAGCATAGGCGCCCTAAACACGAAAAAAAATCATCGTTTGAAGAAATCTCAACTGCATGAAAAAGACGCCTCTACTCACCCGCATGAATGTGAGCCCTAAACATTCGACGGCTATTACAGCATCCATATGGAATGTTTCGTAAAATTTTCCAACTTTGAAAAATAGCAGAGTGTCAAAATTTTTGCTACTTGAAGTTCCACCATTGAACGTGAGCTGAAAGTTCACACAAAGTAGCTCAAGGTTCTCCACAGTGCTTGATTAGGAAACTGTACCTTCATGTATTGTTCCCTTCAGGAAATGAGGCTGGCACAAAAGCTTCGTCGGCGTCATAGTCGTCGGTTCGGTCCTCGGACGTATAGACCTTGCGCATCGCGAATTTTCTCTGGCTAAACACCAAAAGTGGTAAGGAAACACGAGGCAGAAGTTTCATTGGCCAACACTTGAGCATGATACGGCGACCAACCCATGGCAAGTAAAAAACAAAAGAGTACTAAACAAAAGAAAGAAAAAAACGCCAAAGAACTACTTCAAATTAGAAAAGAACAGAACTATTAGGAAAGTATTTACCTTTAAAATGCGAGAGTTTCATGAACGAACTTCCCGCTTTCATCCCCTGTCAAATCTTCTTTTTTGGGTTTGCGATCGTTCACGTCAACCTGGTATATGGTACGATCCAAAGTGTCGACTGATGCGGTGGATGCGTTCTGAAGGAAAGTCAAGATACACGTATCAGCATCGCTAACATACAGTCATAGCTACGCGACAGCGGGAGTGAAGCATGATCAGACCGCCGTCACACTCGGCGACCAAGGGATGGAGCGACGCGACCCGCTCCATCGCTTGTCCGTCGCCGAGTGTGACGGCGGTCTCATAATCATTCTCCATTGGAAATGCACTACATAGAGCATTCGCTTGATTTGCCTATATGCGTGCATCTCCACAGGTTTTTGCCGTCTCTTTTTCAGTTACCCATAATCTGTCGATAATTTTATCAGAATACACAAGATATTTCCTTTGTCAGGAGATGTACTCTAATTCAAGTGTTCGAAAAAAAAAAACAAAATAACACGAATTCCCTTCTTTGTTGATGGTTTGCGTGATCACGCAATGGTGTTAAGTTTAGCGTACGTGCGAAATATCAGTACCGCTGAAAAGGAAAAAACTCGAAGTTATACGAAACTCAAGTACTAACAGAAGCAGTGCGATAACTCATTCTCGTTCTATTAAATTCTACAGGTTTCGCATGAAGGCTAAAAGCTACCTGTCGAAAAAAGGAATCAATATCAGGTTGTCCGATGAAAATGCTACTCGGGACTCTTCAAAGTCAAGAATAAGACTTGTTTTTGTTTGTTAACTGCTGTTTTTGGCCGCAGTTCGCCTTGCGAAATGTTTCACAAGAATGCTGGGTTGTGAACAAAACTTTCGCCCCAGGCGGGACTAGAACCCGCACCTCTCGCTTTCCGGGCAAGTGCGCTACCAGTTACGCTACCGGGGCACCATTTCATCCCACTTCAGCTTTTCATGGCATATTCTCCAAATCTCGAAGACTGATTAGGCGGGTCTGTGAGTTTGACGTGGTGGTTGCCGCACTCGATAAAAGTCTGCGCGGAATAAACGTCGTCGAACTGCATGCATTATGCTGTTGATATCCAGAGAAGTATCTTATCCACTATCATCATGTGTATCAGTATCTATCAAGTGCAGCGATGGTCACGTTAAATGCTCAGACACGCCTAATCTGACTTCGAAATATGAACTGTAAGTACCATAGCTTGTTAGCGCTGACAACGCGTATACGGTATGCTATAACCACTTATGTGAAAAACATTCGCAAGGCGAACTGCGGCGTTAAAACAGCAGTTAACAAACAAAACAAGTCAAAATTCATTGCTAAAGCTTTCAGCCTCGCGGTCATTGCCGATATCGGCTAACCGGCTCAACACGTTAGACGTGTGAGTGCTGAAAGCTATGGTACGTATACCATGAAAAGCTGAGTTGGAATGAAATGGTGCCCCGGTAGCGTAACTGGTAGCGCACTTGCCCGGTAAGCAAGAAGTGCGGGTTCAAGTCCCTTCTGGGGCGAAAGTTTTGTACACAACCCCGCATTCTCAAGAATAAGAATTACCAAGTCATCTTCGCCGACACAGAAAGAGTCAATGAAGGATTCAGCCGCAGCGCAGTTGATAATGGGGTCGTGCACGGTTTTAACGGTCGTAGTCCTCTCACAGTCTTCGGCGTAGAAATCTCTGGTGCTGTCGATGATGGAGTAGAGGGCGCGTTCTGCAAACACGCAATTCAGGTGGGGCATTCACTATAGAACTATACTTATTGGGAATGCTTGAAATGCTGAGCAATACCTTCAGTGACGAAGGGGGAGTCCTCACAGCCAAGACATTCTCGCCCTCATCTTCTTCATCCGACGAAACGATGATTCTACGCCGTTTCACAGAATTTCTGGCCCTGGCTATGGGAGATCCTTCATGATCATTGTTGACACGCTTTAGAGTTCTTGATTCTAAAAACTGGTATTATTATTGGGCATTTAACGCATAAGATGACAATACAAGTCACCCATGTTCGGGCAACTACTTCGCCCAATTTCAGTACATTGACTGAAATTAGGAGCCATCGAGTCCAAGCAGAGCACTGCGTTGTGATAAGCCATGGCGTCCAATCCAGGTTACAATATCAACTTATAAGATGAAGGTAGAACAAAGAAAGTGTAAAGCAAATAGAAGCACGACTATGTCCGCCGAGTAACGAATAAGATGGGACAGGAAACGTGTCGTTGCTTGGCTTCCAATGAATTTTCACCTCAAAAGCACTCTTCATTCCATTATTTTGACTGCGTCGCGTTGTGCGTTGCTGGATGGAGCAACTTAGTTGGAGCAGGGGAGAGGGCTGACGGGCGCGCCGCGCTCTGTTCGTGTGCATCTTTAGACTTAGTCTGCAGTCCAGTGTATTCCGAAAGTACCACGGTGCGACGAAATAGTGAGCCCTACGACTAAGTTTTAGAAGATGCAGACGAACAGAACGCCGCACGGCCGCGTTGTCGCGTCGTGTCGCGTTAAAAGCATCCAAGAGGCGAAAGTTTTGTACACAACCCCGCATTCTCAAGAATAAGAATTACCAAGTCATCTTCGCCGACACAGAAAGAGTCAATGAAGGATTCAGCCGCAGCAGTTGATAATGGGGTCGTGCACGGTTTTAACGGTCGTAGTCCTCTCACAGTCTTCGGCGTAGAAATCTCTGGTGCTGTCGATGATGGAGTAGAGGGCGCGTTCTGCAACCACGGAATTCAGATGGGGCATTCACTATAGAGAGAACCATACTTATTAGGGAATGCTTGAAGTGCTGAGCAATACCTTCAGTGACGAAGGGGGAGTCCTCACAGCCAAGACATTCTCGCCCTCATCTTCTTCATCCGACGAAACGATGATTCTACGCCGTTTCACAGAATTTCTGGCCCTGGCTATGGGAGATCCTTCATGATCATTGTTGACACGCTTCAGAGTTCTTGATTCTATAAAATTAATCTTATTATTGGGCATCTAATACACAAGATGAGAGCATAAGCCAGCCAGGCTCTGGCACCTACTTCGAGCCAATTTCAGTACTCTGAATGATGCCTTATGATACTGAACATAAAATTTTAGTATCAGTATCAGTTTGAAAAATAGCCATGTGAAATCAGCGTCTCAAAAATCGAATCATTTTACTAACAACCGGCATCGGAAGAGCCGCTCAACGTGACTCGGCTGCTGCCGAAAACTTACTTATTGCTCCAGGGTTTGTGGAAGAGGCAGAGAGAAAGAAGAGGTCAGTTCCCCTCTGGAAATTTCAAATATCTAATCCTTAGGCTGGATTGTCTGATGTTTATTGTCTGATTGTCGCGGGCAGTTTCGGGATATCGGGCTTTTTTTTGGCATCTGCTAGCTGCTACATTCCTTCCTCCTTAGTTCGTTTATCATTCTCTACATTTTCTCTCCTCTTCTGTGGAGTTCCTTAGAAGCGGACGTGACCAGGGCGGAAAGAGGCGCCATATTGCTGCGTGGACCTTTGGATCGAAGTCCGCTCCAGGTCAAGAACTCAGGTGGGATAAACCAGTAATGGGCTGTTCAGAAGGGCAAAACACTGAATTGGCCATTTGTCAGCTCAGTAATCGCTGTAAGCCAAGTGCTCATTCAAATATTCCCACGATCCGGATGGAAGTCAAATGCGCTGCGCATCTCATTCAGGGGATCTGGTTAACCCTGACTGCTTCATCGTTTTTGGCCTAGATTCTTGAAGGCAGCTCATAATGCCCGAGAGTGGTGCGGCTTTGAGACGTCACTGAACGTCATTGGTGGACTGGACCCTTAGCGCCTTGGGGGGGGGGGGGTGGGGTATGGTAAGAACCGCCTCTTCACCTTTTCACGTGACGTCCCTAACTCCATCAAAATCGCACCGCCTGCAGCCATTGGGATCACTGCCTACTTTCTGCGAAGCTACCGGTTTCTCTGCCTTTTGATGTCTATTTTTCATGCATGGGCGGAGTGGTGTAGTGGAGAGTGGCGCTGCTTACCCCATGCACGACCCGGGGATGGAAGGCTGTATCTTAGCTGTCATGACCATTCCGCGAAGCCGGCCATGTGGTAGCAGACTGGTGTCATGCACCATTCCAATTGCTTGAAAGTAGTGGGCACCCGGATCAACGACAGTAGAGGATTCCTAACCAGGAAGTAGCGTGTGCCTTATCGTTAGTGAGTGGAGGACTTGTAATTGCGGGAAACGAAGAATGGCTAAATACAGTATAGAATAGTAAAGTTTGCTGCTTTTCTAGTTGGACCTACTTCCTCTACCTATCTTTCGACAAATTTGCAATTTCGAGGGCGGAATCGGATGAATGTTGGGCCGTCTCAGATGAGTGTCACATAGTGCCAGGTTGGACACTATTATCACCATTGGAAGGTGTGTGAAATGGGAAAGGATTTTGTAGGGGGAGGGAAAGGGAATCGGTTTCATGGAGAGGGGTTCACTAAAATTCCGTACATAGCAACCCTTGAACTTCATTCCCATCCTCCCCTCACGTGGCCAATAAAAACCAGTGAACCTTCAACGCGTTGAAACGCTGGCCATTCTGGGGAGTATTTGCTCTGGAGAGCAGCTCTACTTGACAAAGAGAGCGCTCATAAGCGCTGCTTCATATCATGTAGTACTGTCATG